GCTTTGTTGAAAACGACATGTTTGAGAGAGACGGGGCATAGAGGACCTACAATAATGTACAGTATTTGAAAAATAATGTGTTTTTTGAACATTAAAGCATGTCAACATATTCTGTTAAACCAAATACACAAAATAATTATCTTTAAAATAGCATCATATGACCCTTTTAAAAGATGCATTTCTGAGCTGTGCTGCGTCATCATTCCTTCTCTTTAGTTTCTGAACATACCCAAGCTTCCGCGCAGTGAGATCACGATTTCAAAATAAAAGTCCCAGAATAAATAATTCACAATATATACAAATAAAATAGTAAAATAATACACAAAAATACCATTTCAATTTCTAAGGCCAGGTTTCACGCCACAGCAATAACGTCATGTGCAAACAACCTATTAACCTATAAATTAGCACTGACGGGACTGGGACGTTCGTTAAAAATAAACTGAATCAATTTTTCTCTGACATCGGGATCCATCCCCTAGTGAAAAAAAAGTATACCAAGTATACTTGCAGCCAGACTAATTGTCAGTATACTTTAAGTGTGTTAATGATTAGTTATTTTGGAACAACTAATTTTGTACTAAGTATATTTTAATTGTAATTAAATTGTAGTAAAGCATAACTTTAAGTGTATTTAGTGTACTTTTATGTACTAAATTGGAACTTCAAGTACACTTAAAGTATATGCCTATTTACATGCTTGATTAGTGATATTAAAGTGTACTTTTTTTGTATTACGAGTACATTACAAATGAATTATGAGTGTCTTTGAAACACACAAGCAATATACTATAAATGTATTCTTTTTGAGTAAAAATATGCAAATTTTCCCCCAATGCTGAATCCACTTTTTAAGGTCATTACAATAAAGTATACACTTCAATGACAGACAGAGATATAGCATCACTTTAAATCACATGATACAACACTATTCAAGTTGAAAAGAATAGTATTTATAGTACAGGTCAGGCTAAATTGTAATGTAGACACATGCATTTTCTGTAAAGCTGCTTTGAGAAGTTAGTGTACTCTAAATGAGGGCATAAAGTGCAAAAGCAGCAGCAGTGCACTGACCCTAGACTTGGTTGACATCACCTCTCCGTCTTCAAAGACAATCAAAACATCCAGTGGGTTCCCTCGTGACATTTCCTCTTCCTCCTCAGCAGCAATGATGGGGACTGCTGCCTTCTGCACCTGCTCAGGCTCCTTTTTCTAAATGCATTAAAAAAAAAAGTGTTAGTATATGTCACAACAAAATCACAATATTAACCCTTGTGTGGAAAGACATATTTAAATTTTCATAAATGAAAATAAAGGTGTGAAGGATCAGAGTAGTGTTTATTCAGTAGGACCTGTGCCCATTTAAAACCCTGTAGTACTTTTCAAAAACTTGTCGTAATTTTCACAACATCCAGTGCTGTCGGTCAAGTGGATTTAATTGGGAAAAACTTGTCGTAATTTTCACGTCTTCCAGAGCTGTCGGTCAACTGGATTTAATTGGGAAAAACTTTCAGGGGTGTTTCAGCTGAATGTTCTTGAGTTTGAATATAATTTGTATTAATAAAACATCCAAATAAATATAATTTAATAACTATAAATAATAAATCAACACGCCTTTATACAAACCCAAAGTAACTTTAAGATAAGTGCAAGTGGAAATATAACACAAAATACCTTTTTTTGTAATCCATATTAAGAAAGCCTACTATAACTAGAACTTTCAAGACCCAACTCGTATTCTTCTGAAGCATAATGACTCTGAATCAAAAGCAAACTGAAATTTAATGTTATTCATTCTGCCAATCCAGTCTGAATCAAAACTGGTGGCACACTACATTACATCAAACATCACTGATCCTGGATATCATGATGTCAGTCACGTGGTGTGAAAGAACCAGTGTTTGTCTGGGCTGTGTGTGCACGAGTTGATCAATGTTCAGATTTAAATTTCATTCCTAAATATTGTGCTGCTTCAGAAGACACATTTGTGCAGCTACATTTGCTAAAACAGCAATTAATCCAAAAATGAAAAAGAAATATACTTAAAAAAACTTTCAGAAAGTGATGGTTTACATCTCGCATAACACTAAAACCCATCAATTAAATCAATGTGAATTCTACTTACTTCACTTTAGGCTCGTAGTATTGCAGCCATCTTGTTGCCTTTGACATCCCAGCACTCCACGCTGCCTTTGCTCTGAAAACATTGATTTCAAAAACATATGCAAGTATGAGTTTCGAATAAAACAACGCGAGGCGCAAATATCAGTCTGAAATGGTAAATAACGTTAGCAAAACAGCCATCATAAATGCTCCTCGAGCCGCTTTGTTTACCGGGGCTTCGGCTGCATTAGTAAACCGCGGAGCCGATGTGTTTACCGGGGCTTCGGCTGCATTAGTAAACTTAATTAGCATCACATGGATATGCTAGATGAAACTGACGAAGCGGATCATAAATAACGATTAAGAAAAAGTTCAAAGTTATTGTAATATAGTGAATGGGCGGGTTTGTCTAACGTTACCTGTTAAATTAGTTTCTGTGGCGCGAGTGTCGGTTAGATCTGTCAGCCGTCTTTCTGGTTTAAAAGACAAAAATCACCGGACTTGTTTGTCTGTCTCCGACTGAGAAAACCACAAAAAAAAAATATATATATCTATAACATTAGCGTTGCCGAGCTGGTTAATCTTCAAATAATAAGATACGACAATAAATCATAAACGTTCAAAAGTTTTTTTAAGGAATAAAGAAGCTTGAAATGCTTACCTGTTATTTGAGTGAGCTCAGCTCAGCTGTGATTGGACGGGCTGACGTCACGGGACTGACTAGATAACGGTCGCGGTTTTTGAATCTTTTTAGGAAACACACTAAAAATATATAATTTGCCATAATTAAAAGTTATTACATAAAAAAGGCT